AAAAGATGATGTTCAAAAAAACGCGAATAATTTCCGACCATTATGTCGTGTATCCTATTTTAACATCTTATTGGTTAAGTAATTGTCTATTCTACAATCTTATGCCGTAAGAATGTTTTAGTAATGTACTAGAAATGATTTATATAAGGAAAACAAGTACTGAGCGGGGTGCATGGCAGGATGGAAGGAGTCAGACACTTTTCTGCTCTGGACAAAAATATTTTTCGTCTGACCAGCGAACAGTTTTTGTCGCGTTCTGTTGCAGGAAGCAAAGGCAAAAAAAAGTTTATCCACGAGAGATCTTCCTTGGTTTTTGATTTTGGCAAGCCCCTGACTTACATTTATCGAAAAATATCAGATTTTCTTTTTTTAAAAAGTTAGTTTTTAGGCTACAGCAAAGATTTACTCATTCTGAAGAGACTAAAAGCGATAGAAACTTTTTGAACACGCAGTTCGAAAGCTTTTTAAATGTAGATTTTGAACAGATTTTTTTCATTTTTCCGAAATGTATGTTATCACAAGAAAAATGGCGAGATATTTTGTCCAATTACTTTTGCATCGTAGGGTACTTTTATCGAGATGTTCTTTTACTCTATATTTGAAAGAAGCAGTGTTTACTGTGAATGTATTCTATATCCTGGCAATTTCGCAAATTAAAATTAAATTAAATGAGAGTTATCGTAGAGTTATCGTATCCTAGAGTACACGAATGTTCGTAGTTTTCCGCTGCTCATAGGATCATTCTGCACAACAACAAAAAAGTGGGTCGAATCTTTACCTTGTAGTATCCATCCTTTGATAATAGCTTTTCTCAAACGTTGATTTTGTTCACGATTTAATAAATGATCGCTTGATTTTTTCTATAAATCAAATTTTGATAATTCGTCATCTTCATATATGATCAGTAAACCCTCTTTTACTTCGTTAGTAAATTTGTCTGTATGACTGGAGTCTTAAAAGAAAAAGTATCAAAGAACATAATATGATTCCATTGCAACGCACAATGATTAAGAATTTAATTTTCTATTTCTGTGCAGACAACTGAGCGTTTCCATCTGTTTGTCTACTACTACATGCTTGAATATGTTTTGAGATGACTTATTAAACTCACTTGACTTTTTTTACCTTTTGGGTTTCCTCACAATCTAACAAATGGTACGCAGTTCCAATATCGATCGCATTATCACCACTTTCAGTGACGTCTGTTCATGCTAAAAATAGCAGACAATCAATTCGCACTTACCTTTTCCTTCTTGTTCAAATAGTCATTTGCTATAATTTTACCCGATTCTTTGTTTTCGCTGAGTTTAATGAACTTCGCAAGTAGACTAGCCAGCGATCCACTACCCTAAAACAAAGAATTAGCAACTGTAATTTTACATGAAATATGAAGTAAATAAATCTAGCATCATTATTTTCAGCTAGTCGGAGATGTTTTTCTCATAACATACCTTCAAAAAACATCAAGCTTTTGAATGCTATCGATCGGTTTAAAGTACCCAAAAATTCTAAAGTGCATTGAAAATTGAACACAGAAAATGCAGTTTCAAATTTTCACACTGAAACACCAGTCTTCGGTGCACACTAGAACAGAAGACTATCGTCATTTGGTAAACCTATCTAGTTTTCTGTGTAAAGAAATGAAGTCTTATTTTATTTGTCATACAAATTTTCTGCACATATACAATAAAAGTATAAATCGCTTTTTTGAAATCCTTTTTCAATCCTGAGATAACTAATTTTTATTGAAATCTCAACAGTTTTTTATGAAATTGGCGAAGTCTTTTTGAATAAAACTGCCAGTTTTAAGTCAAAGTTAATGAAAATGTTGATTTATAGGTAAAAATAGTGTAGAATTGAATAAAACCATTTTCCAGTGCTTTGAAGACCTTTTACGAGAGTTTCCATAGATTTCTTTCCCAGTAGTTCCTCTATCAAATACTGAAAGCATATGGTTCTAACTCTTTCTGTTAAAAGGTTATTCTAAAACTACTTTTTTCCATTCTATTTTGAAATGGATAATAGATTACTAAATTTTACGATTTTTCTATACTCCAACTTCAAACATCACATAATTCATGAATTTATTATATTCCAAGAGAAATTTTGATATCATACCAGTGATTTTCTACGTTCCCAGATAGGTAATTTTCAGGAATTTTGCATTTTCATACAACAAATTTATACTTTCCAGAAAATCGCCGATTTTCGAAATAACCGACGAATTCGTAAGTGGACAAATTGAAACACAAAAGTGGAATATATTGGCTCTAACATTATCTAATTACATTTCTCTTTATTCTTTTTATATAGATGTTCTTTCAGGAGCATTGCTCAGTGCAAGAGCGTTATTTTTCTCCGCCCGGTAATTTGTAGGTGGATTCTTCATGTATATGTACGGACTAAGGATTACTCCAGGTACAGAATATGAATAGTTTTGGATTCACCTGTTACACATTATTTAAATGCATTTTCTGATGATGCCATTTGAACAGCAGCAATACTATGTACAATTCTGTAGAGAGCTTGAATCTGCTGAAGTTTTGAATAGCATCCCGATATATTTCACAAGACTAGAGTGCGATACAGATATGAATTTAAATAAAATCAGTCCCGTTTAATCTTATTCTGATATTTAACCCGCATAGAAAGATAGTTATGAGTTAACAAAGAGATTACAAGAAGCTGGCGCTGACAATATTTAGAAGATTATGAAAATGTTTCCTACTATAAGATTATGTTCGAGGCAGTTTATGTCTTAAAATTTCCTATTAGGTTTCGATATTCTGTCTGATTAATCGAAGAGCTGGTTCCAAACCATACTCGTTATCGTTCAGAATATCTTTAGATGCGGCCGTAGTCAGAAAACGAATAAGAGTTCCGTATGGCACTAGATCATTCACGATATAGTATCGTTTTTAGAACATTCTGATATTCGAATTTTTAGTGGATGAATTTGACACTGTAAAGCTCCTTCTATATAGGAATGTTTATTGTATTGAACTGGATTAATCTGCAGTTCTCAACATTGTCTGCCAAATACTTCATCTTTGGTGTTAAATATATGTCTTGCCCACATATTTGTTAACTGAATAAAAACGCACTTCGACCGATATCTTTTGATTTTGTACCCCATGCGCTATTTTTGCCTTGTCTTTAAAGCCTCCGCTATGCATTTTAATGTTTCCAGAAAGTCATGATGAAGTCCAATAGTCGAGACGGACTTACCGAAGGTGAGGGCATATGTTATTATCCGCGAGATTCTGGTGTAGTGTCCTATCGCGGAGAATACCACCGTGGTCGACGCCATGGAAATGGAACATTAGTATGGAGAGACGGACGAACGTATACGGGCAAATTTGCTAATGATCGTAGAGGCGGAATAGGAACCATGACGTACAGAGACGGGAGTACGTATACTGGTGCTTTCGTCAAAGGTCGGAGACAAGGGAAAGGACAGCGGACCTATGCCAACGGTTCTACTTATCAAGGTAGTTACGAAAATGACGTGAAACAGGGCCTTTTCGTTGTTCACAATGGCAATGGCGATCGAACTATAGAGGTTTATGATAAAGGCGAATTGAAAAAGCGATCTTCCAGTCGTCTGAGAAGTAACAGTGTTAGTAACGACTACGGCGTCTTTTCGAAGCGCACGAACAGCACTTCGAGCGTGTAGCCTTGTTGGGAATATGAAACAAAAAGTGAAAGATTTTTTTTCTTGAAATGTGTCTAGTCTTCTTTTCTGTTGTCGTCTTTTTTAATTTTTTTTTTGTTTCTGTTCTTAAATGTCATTGGTACAGATACAACAACTGGGGCATCTCTTTCGTTCTTCGGTTTACATTAACAACCACTCAAAAAACATTCTTTTTTTCTTTTTATATTCATGAATTGCTCATTCTTTAGTTTACATTGGCTACTGTTGTTACGATCGTGTAACAAAAGAAAAAAAGAGAGAGAGAGAGAGAGAGAGAGCAGAAAAAAAAAGTTAATTGAGTTCGTATTTACTTTGTGCTTGAGCTGCTTCCTTTGCAGCTAAAAGAAGAATCCAAAGAGATGTTTTAACTTACCAGATATGCTTTCAGTAAATCAGTTATAATATTTAGGCATCATTCTTCATTTTCACAGTGATAGCTAAACTATAATAGAGTAGATGTCTTGGGAAAGATCAGTTCGGTAATCTAATTACAATATTTAACATTCCTCATTTTTTTCCTCTCTTTCCAATTATGTGATGACGTCATCATATTTACCTGATGTGAAGTAATTTTTTCCTTCTTCAGAGAAACGGAAAGAAGAATGTGTAGAGATCATCACTTCCTCGCGTGATGTGAACAATGTGAGTGACGTACTTTTTAGAATGATATTCGGTAAAAAGTTTTTAGGCTGCCGGAAGCGGTGAGGGAATGACTAGAGGAAGACTTTGAAACAGTCCAAGAAATGCTCCACAAGAACATCAAGCATCCTATCAGAATGCACACACAGACAGCTTGACCTGCACGTTTTATTACACGATCGCAGTTTCCATGAGAAACTGGGGTTACGAAATAATTTTTAGCGAATTTACACTTAGTTTGACGGAGTTATAACCGCTGCAAAGCGAGCAGATCGAGAAAACTTTGAAAAAATGGTACTTATTTTCCGTATTCTACTCATAGGTCCTTCAGCTTGTACTCCGTCTAATTTGAAACTGCAAGCAAAACTACATTGGAAAACTAATTTTTATAAAATTTTTAAGGTGTGAAATGAGGATTAAACAAAGTGATAAGTTGAAAATGGATTTTTACAACGGGCATTTTTTCCCTAATTAGCCAACTTCTCTATTTTGACCATGTCATATACAGTAAACGGCTTCTGGTCAGGTTTTTTTGTTTCTTTTTGATCGATCTAAACCGATTCTCGGCACAAGGAAAACACTTTTTCGTAGGTTTTTGACCATCCGAAGTGGTATGGATTAGGTTTTGAAAACTTTCTTCGATCTGTAAGACGGTTTAGGTGATCACCACTTCAGCAAGGAAGTACGTGCGAATGGTTTAACAGTCGATTTTTCCTTCTTTAAACGCTCAGTCGCACATTATATAGTCGAAAATCTATCAAAAAGTGATTTATGTGTAACGAAAATGAGTTTGTTCACAAAAAACCCAAAAAACAGTGTCAGATCCCAGATGGTTTGCGAAATCGGTGAAGTTTGTTTTCTTTCAGAAACGTTGAAGACACAGCACTAAAATCCAGTTTTTAACGCCGATTCCAAGCATGATTTTCAAATAGAGTTTTCAGCGAAAGATGTAGACAAGTAGATTAGTCGGCCGTCTTGTTACACATATTTGGATATGTTCCAATACTTCCTGATCCAAGTGTTTTTCTGTGAGTTTGAAGGAAGTTCAAATCTAAACGAGATGACACGATATATGGGATGAGACAAAGCGAATTGTTTACTTGAGAACAAACGCGTTTTTGAACCGATCACGTATTTTACTCTCCATGTCACCCCTTAAAATTTTTGAAAAAGGAAATTTCCAATGCTATTTTTCACGTTGTTTCAAATATAATTTTACGCAAAAATAATTATCGAAACACTTTGAAGGAGCTATGAGTAAAAGACGGAAAAACCGTCGAACCAAAATATTTACCTTACCGCATTTATTTCATGTGTCATTGATTACGTGCGACAAAGAAATAAAAAAAAACAGTTTCTCGAGCTTCTGAGCAGCAAAGGAACAAACGAAGGAAATATCCGAGTCGATAAATTTCTTTTTGAGTGATTAACTCATAGAAAGCAACACTGCTATATAAAGGGTTCATTTTCAATAGGGCAAGTCAACATTTCGACGGACTAAGACAAACTTAATTGAAGGCATCGTCATTTGGTCAAAGGATCGACTTCTTCACTTTTCGGTAAGTAAAATAACATACACTCAATCTCTTTCATTATATTCTAATTTTACATTAACCAGAAACTTACGGAAAATATTTAAAGAAAATTTCGAGAAAAAAATTTAGAAATCAGGCTCACGAGGAAAGGACTCCAGTTGTCAGACCGCTTTTGGCCTAAAACTCATTGAAAAATAGGTTATCGATGATGCTGATTCAGAATCGGAGAATGGTTTGGGGGGATAGGCCGTTGGACAAGGGGCACCTAAAAAACCTGGTTCTCCAAGGCGAAAACTTTATCGCTCCAAAGAAATTTTTTGACCCCACTACATGAAAGTTCCTTGCCGCGAAACCAATAAAAACACGTTTCCACAATTTTTCGAAGGTTTGTAGACAATTTTTTGGGGTTGAACCTTCGATTTTTATTGATAATACTACGAAAAACTTTCTAAAAACCTTGGAAAAATTTTGGAAATATGTTTTTTATAGGTTTCTCGATATGCTCTTTCATCTGGCTGATTCAAAAAAAGTTTTCGAAGCGACAAAATTTCTGCTTTGAAAAAACAGGTTTTCAGGGAGCTGGTTTCCAAAGTCCTAGTGGCCCGAATCATTGTCATATTTGGAATCGGCATAGTCGATAACCTATTGTCCACTGAGTTTCAGGCCAAAAGCGATTTAGTATTTGGTATCCTTCCCTTATCAACTTGACGCAAAAGTTTTTCTGCAGCACTGTGGTGTCGTGGTAGGAGCTCTGCTTTCACCTCCTCGTGCCTTCTTCTTTCAAGACAATCCTGCACAAAGTTTAATCGTTTGGCATTGTAGCTATTATCCCATTGAGAAATTTCGAATCATCGATTCGTCCTCGGCATATATCTAGTAGAAACGAAAGTAATTTTGTTTTTATTTTTCTTTGTAGGAATTTATATCGTACCTGATTACTGTATCCATTACAATCCCAAGCAAAACTAAGTAAGCGAGAAAATCTAGCTGCAGAAGTAGCTGCAGCGCGCACTTACAGCTAGATTAACTAGATTAAAAGGTACATTTATCTAGCTGCATGCTGGTTGAAATTGTGTACTAGCTGAAACGGCCACTACATGGGCCAATTAATCGAGCAATTCATTGTTCGATTAATCGATAGCAACTAGTTGTACCCAATTAAAACTAGTTTCAATCTAGCTGAAGCTAGATGAAATTTTCATGTATTTCTGTGCAGCTAGTTGAAGCTAGATAAATGTACCTTTTAATCTAGATGCAGCGCCCGCTTCATGATTTTTTTTCGTGCTTGGGAATGAAATGTTTATTCGCTCTCAGTTTATTTTTTTTATTGTTTGCCCAACAGATGCCGGGTAGCACTGGTGGCTTTGTATCTGGTTTTGCATGTTGTTCGTATTGTTGTTATGAGATAGAGACGACATTTCCGTTACCTGGTCCTCTCGATACGGATTCCTGTCTTTCGGCTTGTGTTGCATCAATGGGTTATACTCCTTCACCTTGTAGAACACTTTGTGTTCCTGCCTTTTTAATTCCATTTATATAAAGCATCACTCCTAATTAGTCAAGTTAATTAATCGAGATGTGAATGATATTGCATTTTCTAACTATTATATAAATCTTTTTCATCCAAGACTTTATTTCGATTCACCTCAAACATTATTTTATTCTGAATATCAAGTTTTTATTCTATTTTATTATTTGGATGACTTTTGTGTCACTTAACGTATGAACGTTCTTCTTTCTACTTCTGTGTAACTGTAAGCGGTATTTTTTACTGTTTGTGTCATCTTTCTATATTCATAACTGCTTTTTTTTTATTTTTCGTAACAGATAAGAAAAAAGTGATTAGCCATTTCCACCTGTATACTTCATTTTTCACAATATATATTCGTTTAAACAGGAAAACTTCGTCGTAGATATTTATCATGCGACTGCTGAAATCGGCTTAAGAGAGACTGCACGAGAGCGTAGAACATCTTCTTGCAGAGTGAGAATACGAAAATATTTAACCTAAGTTTTAGTTACATATTCGGAATCAGTGCACCAAACTGTGGTACAGAAAAACCTTTTAGGGAGTTTGCTGCAATTTAACCGAGTTATGGGCAATTTCATAAGAGCGGTTCGAGAAAACCTTTCAACAAGTGAGGTATTTGATTTTCGGTCATCCGCCGTCAAGATAGTCAGTGGGTTTTGTGTTTTTTTAAGTCCTATTTTTACTCACTCAGTTTGATAGCAATACCGCAGAACATTCCAATCGCTGGAATATCTTTATTTGCTACGAGAAAGAATACAGTGTATCTAACTTGTAGTTTTAACGCACTGTAGCATTCACGGTTTATGGCATCAAAATCTAGAAATAGCGAAAGGTTGTTATGGTTAAACTTTCTGCACCGACTGACTCGGTTTAGCTTTCTCCTTTTTATAAAAGAGATGAAAATTGTAGGGATCATCTGAAATAACAATCTCGATATATTTCTACCTCTTTGGAACTGCAAGCCTCACTTGCGTACATAAAACGGAAGATTATGTCTGAAGAGTGTTCAAAATTCCCGCTTACTGGTGTTTAGATTTAGAGTAAAAAAAGTCGATGGATTTTTATTTAGATCATTCAAAGCGAAGGTTGGTTAGCTTTTAAAAACAGGCAAAACATAATCGAATAGCCGAAGTTCTGCTACCCGCTTGACCTTCGACAAAAGTCCGGCATGGATATTTCATTCTCTCAAAAATCACAGCACGGCCTGTTTGCATAATCTTACACTCCTCGTAGGTTTACTGCATTTAGTCTAGAACTTTCTAGATTAAAAAGCCGGC